CACTACCAGTGAATCTACTGGAAAATTTCCAGGAAATAGTAACCTATTCATTTTTTAAAAATTTTTATTATGCTTTGAGTGAAAGTTTACAAAGCATATGTTTCCCATCTGACAGTCTGTACATAGGTTGTTCATGACATTGGCTGCATTTTCCACAATGTGTCCACCCCTCCCATTTCTGCCCCAGGTTCTGACTCCTTTTACAGGGATTTTCTGCCCCTTCTTGCCTTCACATCTTTGCTTGGGGGCAAATGTCCTTTTGATTTCATATAATTGATTGTTTTAAAGTATGTATTCCTATCAGTTGGTGTTTTTATGTATTGTTTAGATGAAAGGTGGCCTCAGAATGACTTCAGTGTCATGTCAGATGGGTGTCTTATGGCCACACTGTTGGGAGTTCCTCAGTTGTAATCAGACCAGTAAGTATGGGACGAATGTGTGTGTATGAATTTGATTATCTGTACTATGTTCTTTTCTCCATTCTTTATGAAGCCCTCGGTTGTGATCCCAGTCAGATATTACTCACCTAAGTAGAATACTAAAATTGTCCTTTCTGAAGTATGTGATGCTTATTCATGTAGTGGTTCCCTGCCTTCAAGCCTGGAAACTTCACCCCACAAGGTATATGATTATGTTTTAGAAGTTTCCATGACTGTGCCCTTTGAATGCACTATTATCTTTATTAATTATGTAAAAGCTCAAGCCTCAACTTGCAAGATCGAAAGATTTTATGGGAAAGATACTGAATGATGCAGGAAGCATCAAAAGAAGTAGGAAGAATGCACAGAGTCACAGTACCAAAAGGAAGTAGCCAGCATCCCACCGTTTCAGGAGGTAGCATGTGAGCAAGAACCAATGGTGCCGAAGAAGTTCAAACTGCCCCAGAAGCATTGGCCAAAGCACAGCTCCAGCAACGGCTGGAAACACCAACTGAAATGTTTCAACAAGCGGATGCAGCCCGGGAAGCCCTCGCTCGCCAGCAGCTTCTGATCATCTTGAGGCTTCTTTTGTTTTTCTCTTCTCAGTTTCTTTCTTTTTGTCATCCTAATCTTTATTCTTCCTTTTTAAATGTGAGCTTCTTTTGCTGCTCTCAATTTTTAGAGTTTTAATGATTTGATTTGGGTCATTTTTCTTTATTGATATGTGCATTAATTGCTATAAGTGACCTCTGAGCACTGCTTTTTTTTATTCTTGGTTATTTCAAGGAATTTCAAATTTTTATCTTTGATTTTCTTTATCACCCAGTGTTTTTGTTTTGTTTTGACCTGTTCAGATCTGCCTACAAATTCACTGAAAGACATGCTTGAGGACAGAGCTTGTTTATGACATCTGGATTGCCTGCTTGTGTATCTTCTTTCCACCATTATCATGCTTCTACTGCAGGTGAATTTGCATGATTTTTAATTCAGGAGTTAATGAGCTAAATATATGCTAGTGCTTTCTATTTGAGCACTATTACAGGTACAGAAATATAAAACAGAAACAACTAAAAGTTGGTAAACTGCTAGTTCTGTGATAGGGAAATATGTGGTTTGTCATTTTCTTTTATCCAGCACTGTTCTATTCAGTTTCTAATTAAAAATTTTTTGTCCCTTCTCTTCCTGCAAGTGATTTCAAATTTTATAGCAATGTGTCTCTGAAGCATAAAGGTGTTATTATGTTTATGCACTTATTGCATGTTTATTTACTGCATGTTGATTTCTGTTTGGTTTGCTTTTTCTGACGAAGCAGGCCATTAGTATGGCCACACTGGCGCTCTTGTCACCTGTATCTTGGTGAAAGGAGCAGAGGCTGGTGCAAGTCTGAGGCTGTAACTGGTACTGTTGGTGAGGTCATATGTCTGACTGCTCATCTGCTCATGCGTGCAGAGAGTGGTCTCACTAGGTACTGGGTAAAGTGGTGTATGTGCCCATTGCTGGTTGCCAGGTAGTTGCCAGGTAGACAGGAAAGAAGTGCCCAGGTTGTCAGTCAAAGATATGGAAATTCTCACCAACAATCCCTGGCAGGGAGGACTGTGCTAGAGTAGTCAAAGGAGGCACAAGTCCCTAGTGATGTGGTACAGCTATGGTAAGGAGAGCCTACTAGGAAAGCATAGCTCTGTCCACTAGAACACAACACAGAGGAAGGTGTGCTTCCAGTCCTTGGGCCCCCAGCACAAGTGGTAGGAGGAGTAGGCCCACATTGTTCTGTGGGTCACAGGCATAGATTGTTGGGGATAGGAACAGGCATCTACAGTGTGTAGACCCCTGATGCCAGTGGCTAGATGGAGCAGCAGTGCTGCCAGTCCATAGGCCCTGAGTGTAAGGGGTTGGGCATGAGAACACGCTTCACCAATTCTGCAGACTCCCAGCACTGTAGAAGGCAGGTATCACCAGTTTGTGGGCCCCTGGCATGAGTGGCTGAGTGAAGAGGTGGGTGCCCTGAGTCTATAGGTCCCGAGCTCAGGGTAGGGTGATAATGTTTGCTGTGGGGAACAATAGAAGGGGTCCCGCAAGCACAATAGATGAGGTGAGCGCACTTAACTTTCACAGGGTGGGGGACATCCCTGCCTGGCTCTGGAGGTAGATAGTGTCCCTGCTGCTAGACTGCACCAGGCAATGGGGGTTTCAACTATGAACAGTGTTTGGTTTGTCTCTATATCGATGTGCTGTACAGGCTCATGTGTTAGGGTGCTTCAGATCCAAAATTCTGTGTCCATACAGTTTCTGCATAATCTCTCCTTCCATTTGACCTTTGACCCAATTCTTCAGCCTCGCCTTCCATGATCAGGGTTCCAAAGTTGTCGGATTCACTGGTTTACTCGGGCTTTTTTTTTTTAAAGAAGGTTCTTCTTACAAGGTGTCTAACGAAACCACCAACTTCTTACTACCCATTATTAACCTCTTTTTTTAACAAAATCATTGAGCTATGCAAAACTCACATAATCCTGAAAAACACCTGAGCATCCTACTCAGGGAAACTGCTTAGAAGGAAATCCATCCTAACCCTTCTTAAAGGTGCACCAGTGAATGCATTCAATGCTAGCATGGTCCTGTTAAACCAGTTCATAACTGAAGAACTAGATTATGAGGAGGGTTCATGAAGTTCATGGAAAAATTACACGAAAAGATAATGATATTTTTTCCATGAAGTTTTGGAATAAAAACCACAAGATCAGTGGTTCAAATTCACCAGTCGCCACCCAGGAGAAAGATGAGGCTGTCTTTTACAAACTCAGAAACCCTATACAGGGTCACTATGACTCATAATCAACCTGGCGGCAGCGAGTTTGGCCAAGCAACATGGAATGCATCTCCTACAGTTTGATTTGCTATGCACAACACACTGTGTGCATTAGCCATTCATGGTGCTCTTTCCCTTAATATTTCTCTCTCTGTGTGTGTGTGTGTGTGTGTGTGTGTGTGTGTGTACTTACTCCATGCCAACATTCTGTGTGGATCACACTCAAATAAAAAGTCAGTCCCTGTTCTCAAGGGAGGTCAGCTTGGTTGCATAATAAATGAGTTACCAAACTGGGAAGTATTCAGTGAGCCTCGGCTACTTGAAGGAAGGGGCAACCAAGTCTACAGGGAGTAAGAGAGAAGGCTCCCGTGAAGAGCTGTTAGTTGAGCAGGCATTTGAAGAAGGATTAGCAGTGTCATGAACTTAATGATGTGCTACACAAAATTCTACCATGCCCTTCTCTGGGCCCCCACATGTTAGTATACTGCCTTCAATTTAGAATCTTCAACATTGGATACCATTTATTAATTAGTATACTTGTATCCTCAGTAGAATGAATTAAGTAAATCCTTACGAGTGCACAGAGAGAAGAATGACTAATTCTGTCTTATGAAATGAGAGAAAACATCTTAGAGCAGGTGATACGATGAGAGGCTTGGTGGTATGCAACATATCAAAAACAAATTCTAACAGTAATGTAGCCCAGAAATTACATGGCAGGTGAATGCCATACATATATAGTAGCTAAACAAAAACTAAGGCATAGCTACCATGGGTGGAAAGGTGGGAGACTGTGAGCTCTGGTGAGGCTGAAGCCTGGTCTGTTTCCAGTACCTCGCTGGGCAAACACAACACACTCACTCAGCAAATATTTATCTATTGAAGTGGTTATGAATACGCAAATGACTAGAAAGAAAGCCAGAAACAAGACTACTGACAACACCATACTGCGTTTTGATTTTAATTTCAGAGGATAATAGAGAATAATCTAAGATTTTTTTAGCTAGAGTATCATTATCAGATATATGCTTTTAGAAAGGAATGTGAATTATAAAAGAAAGAAGGAAGAGACTGGTAGTAGTGAAATATAGGCTAGTATTATTGCAGTAAGTCAGACAAGCAATGATGAAAATCGATATCACAGTCAAGAAGTAAGCCAGTAGGGAACCACTTCAAAAGGCAATCAGACGGCTTAAAAAAAAAAGGCTACCAGGCCTGACAAGTGGTCACTGTTCTAAATCCAGCCAATCTTGTACAATAGGCACAAAATAAACACAATGACATGTTTCCAGGCCGGGTATCGTACCAACCACGACTCAGGGAGAGCAATAATACAATAGCTATAGTCCGGAGTTGTCTTATTGTCTGACTTTACAAAAAAAATACTACTGGAAAGCAGAGATTTCTAGACTATTTCTATCACAGTAGAAAGTTCGATCAGCCCCAAACCCACTGCCATCAAGTTGACTGTGACTAATGTTGATCCCACAGGAGAAAGGGGAACTGTCCTCTTCGGGTTTCTGAGGTTGTAAATCGGTACAGGAGCAGACAGCCTCATCTTTCTTCCACAGAGCACTAGGCGAATTCGAACTGCCGACTGGCTGCTAGCAACCTAACAGGTTAGCACTATGCCACCAGATGGCCTAATTCTACAAATGCAGAGCACTTTCCCAGGAGACAGAGTAGGTCTGGGGAGTCTGCATCAGTCTTTATTCCGCTCTTTTCTGGGGGAAACAAAGTATGCATTTTCAGGGCAAGATTGAAGGAGTAGTACTCACTTGCACAGGGCTTCGACTCCTGCTTTGGCAGAAGCACTTGGTGCTACAAAACCTGATCCAGTCTCGGCATAGATGGTTGTAATAGCTAGAAACGCTGCTCCTGAAATGGAAAAGAACAGTTGATTAACAACATAACCAGATCAATACACATCAGGAAAACACTGTTCACACAAATGGGATCTGATTCCTAGAGGTATAACAAAACCTACAGCAGTTTTAGAAAACATAAACCAGTCCTAAATGAAAGGGAAATTAATCTGGTAAAGCTGCTACATCCTGGCACCAATCTTGCTGACATTCAGGCTGACCCAACCTACGCTCACTTAGAATTCTATACCTGACCTGCCACCATCAAGTCCAACTCAGCGTGACACTCTGTATAAGCTTCCCAGGACTGGAAGTCTTTACAAGAGTAGACAGCCTCATCTGTCTCCTCCAGAGGGACTGGTGGCTTTGAACCTCTGTTGTTAAGAGTTACCACCCCAATGCCTAATGCACACTGCCATCAGGGCTCCTTGGGAAGTGTAAGGTAGTCCAAACTAAAGCTTCTTCCACAATCAAAGAAATAAATCTTTGAAAAAAGCCTTCAAACAATCAAGATATTGCACCAGTATCAGCTTGAAAAAATAAAAAACAACATACTTCAAAGGAAAAAATGTTTTAGGACATTTAATATAACATTCAGAGTTTATAGCAAAAAAATTACTACACACTGAAAGTACCCAAAACATAACCAGATGAAAAATCAGTTAATAGAGACCCTGAAGTGACAGTGAGTATAGAATTAGCAGATAAACACCTTTAAAATTGTACGATAATGATGATAAGACATTTTAAGTAAAATATACATATAAGAGAAAAATGGAAAACATAAAAATAGAACCAAATTAAACTGCACAACTGAAAAATATCTGAAATAAAATATGGAAACGATATTAAAGGCCCATGAATTTGATGACACAGTAAAAAAAAAAACCTGCCCTAAATGAAAGCCAGAGACAAAAATGGAATCAGAGTCTCAGTAATCTGTAAAGGTATCAAGAGTTCTGACACCTGAGTAATTGAAAGCCCAGAAGAAAGAAGGCCAAAAAAAAACCTACTTGGAGGATACTTGGAGAAATAAAGAGGGAATTTTTTTCAGATGTAGTCAAAACTACAACCTACAGTCAAGAGATCAAAAGACGTGTTGCATTAGGTAAATATGTGGCACTAGACCTCTTTAGAGTATTGAAGAGCAAGGATGTTACTTTCAGGACTGGGATACTCTGACCCAAACAGTGATATTTTTCAGTCACCTCATACACATGAAAGTTGGAAATTGAATGAGGAAGACAAAGAATGATCAGCGTATTAAAAAAAAAAATCATAGCATTGTGAATGATGGGGAGTGCAGAGTGGGGTCCCAGGACCCATCTGTGGGAAATTGGACATCCCCTTGCAGAAGGGCCAGTCAGGGTGCAGTGTAGCAATGAAGAAACATAATTTTCCTCTGGTTCTTGAATGCTTCCTCCCCACCACTATCATGATCCCAACTCTACCTTACAAATCCAGTTGGGCTGGAGGATGTACTCTGGCACAGATAGGAACTGGAAACACAGGGAATCCAGGACAGATGAACCCCTCAGGACCAGTGGTGAGAGTGGTGATAC